GCCCGATCGGGCGCGTGTATTTTTAGGAGACGATTAGTGTCGTTTTAATTTGTTTTAGTTTAGGATTTTTGTACGAAGTATAAATACTCCTCCGTAATACGATTTTAGGACCTCTTCTTCTTCTCCTCTTTACTTTCTTTACTCTCTTAATTATTCTCTTAGAATTCTCTCTCTAAACCTTTGTTCTTAATTCTACTTTTAATTCCAGATTTATTTTGGTAACGATTCCTCTTCTCTTAATCTTAGTTATTTATTCTATTCCTTTAATCATGTCTTATTTTATTGCTTTGATTTGTTTAGTTTTTAATATGTGTGAGTAGTTTAATTTCTAGGGTTTATGGGGATCTAATAAATAATATGAAGGGGTAATTTATTGTTGTTAATTATCAATGTTAGATTAATTTCCTATTGATTGATTTAATGCTCTGTGACTAGATTAGGCCTATCTTTTATGCATGAGTTTGGCAATATTGATTCAAGAATCGAGAGATGAGAATTAATGTTTAGGTCTAGTTTCAATAGGCAAGTTAATTTATAAATGGTTAAGTCAAGATTCGAGAGATGAGATTTAATACCGGTAAATTAATTGTGTGATTGTAATACGTAGCGAGAGCCCTTTACAATCTGGTTAATTGATGCATTGATGATTGACTATTATTGATTATTGGTATTGCATGGTGATTTCTTATTGGATTGTTTTAATGTTTTACAATTGCGGCTTGTAAAAGTATAGCAATATTAAATTGATGAATCGAGCAGATGTTAATTTGATATTAAAGGCTATTTTCAATAAGAACTTAGATCTAGTAAATTACGAGAGCCTGTTAGATCTATGTTGATTAATAAATTGCGAGAGCCTGTTAATCATATTATTTATGCAATGTCAATGATTGATTACTATGTTTTACCCTGGAGTATTATTTATTGGTGAACCTATGCCCTAGATCCTTTCATATATTGTTTTCTTCCCAATCTCAACCTTAGTAATTTAGTCTTTTACTTAATTATAAATATTGGTTACTTAAATAATTTAGATTATAATAATTAATTAGGAGTAAAAAGACTTGTTTCCCTGTGGAGATCGTCCCTAATTCCCTATCTACCTTAGTAGTTAGTGATTTAGGTAATTATTTTTGATTAGGGGATACGACTTTACCCTGTCAGCGCGACACCCCATCACAAATACAATTGATATTGAAAAAGAGAGCCAAACTGAAATATGGCATAAGTTCTTGGCGGTAAGTACCTACTACTTTTTGACCACTGCTATGATGTTATGGATGATCTTTAATGTCTTTTAACTTTCCTTTTGTAGGACTTTCCAAAATGTGGGTTAGTAATAGCTACAAAGGGGATGGGAAACGCAAATTTGATGGAGCAAATATTTCAAGGTACAACAGCTGTAGGTGTCGGCAGATGCTTTTCACCAGCAATGGCAAGCGGTGCTTCGTACTTGTCAAACAATGTAGCTGGTCTTTCTATATATGATGACAACGAAGAATTTGGAGATGATGATCAAGACGGAGAAGATGATGATGGAACAAGAGAAGGTTCAGGGGATAACCAGAACATTGATTGTGATTATGTTGGTATTGATGTCAATGCTTCAAGCGCTGCCCAAAGTGTATCCCCTCCAAAGACCATGCGGAAACAAGTTAAAGGTGGTACTATTAGTAAACGAAAAAGTGAAGGTAGTATTGATAATTTTGATGAAAAAAGAAGAAAAGCTAGTATTGATACTGTTATTGAATTGTTGGAGAAAAGTCATGCTAATAAGCCTACAGACAGATTTTCGAATGTAGTTCAAACTCTAAGTAGAATGGAAGTTGCTGTGTCACGAGGTCAAGAATACTACGTTCGTGCAGTAAAATACTTTGAAAAGGAGGAGTATGCCAATATGTTCTTGGCACTTGAGGGTGATGAACAGAGGTGGTGGTACTTAGATTTGACTTTCCCTCGCAACTCAGGAAGTTAAACAACGGCTCGATCAAATTTGTTTGAAGTATTTGTGCTTAAGATTTGTGTGAACCATGTGTGCTGTTATTTCAATTGAACTATGTGCTGTCTTTTAATTCGGTGAACTATTTGTGTTGTTTTATTATGGTTTAAATTTGGTTTTTCGAGACTTAAAAGTATTTTTTTATTGCTATAATTAGGGTTTATTACTTGGATATCTTGTTTATCATTATCTTGTTTTGTTTAATGTAGAATGGGAGATGAAAAACATTAGACATGCATGCATGATTCTTGCATTACAGGAACTTTTCGATTCAGTAGAAGACAATCTTGATTCAACAACGATCCCACCGACAAGGCAACTGCGAAGAGAACGGGGGGAGAATGGAGCTGAATTTATACATAGGTTGTTAACGGAAACTCCGACGGAATGTCAAATTCAATTAAGACTTGATCGAAACATGTTTATTCAGCTAGTGAACTTGATGATTGAAAGAGATCTACTACATGACGCTAAATATGTGAAAGTAGCGGAACAAGTAGGTATATGTCTATATATCTTAGCAAAAGGACTTTCATATCGTGATGCTTCCGACAAATTTAAGCATTCTATTTCTACAATATGCAAGTATCATAACAAAGTGTTGAAAGCGTTGGTTAATTTGTTCTTCGATATCATTAGACCACATCGTGACTTATCTAAGGTGCCTCCAGAGGTAGCTAATGGTACAAGATATTGGCCTTATTTCAAGGTATACCTTCATTATTATTTATATTCGCTTGTTTAGATTTTAATGTCGAAAGTCTAAATTTTTTCTATTTGTCAGGATGCTATTGAAGCTTGGATGGAACTCTTATCGATGCCATTGTAAGTGATACCGATGGTGTGCCATTTCGTGATTGACATGGAAAAAAAAGTTGGAATGTCTTGGCTTGTTGTTCGTTTGACAGAATTTACACATTTATTAATGTCGGCTGGGAAGGAAGTGTGCATGATACCACGGTGTGGAAAGACGGTCTGGGCAATCCAAAATTTAATTTTCCTCATCCACCTCCTGGTACACTCTAATTGTTGAATTACGTATTAAATATATTTTTTTATTTATTTCGGGTAAAATATTCTGAATATTCTAAAATCTATATAATTCAGGAAAATATTATTTGGCGGACTCGGCATATCCAAATACTCTTGGATATATGACGCCGTACATCGGGGAGTAAGAGTACACATGCCTGATTTTAGAACAATGCCGTCTAGAGGATTAAAAGAACATTTTAATAAGCTACATTCATCATTAAGAATGAAGGTGAAACGTTCGTTTGGACAGTTGAAAAAAATGTGGAGGATATTACATAACATGCCAGAGGCGTCACAAAAGAGTCAAATGTCAATTATTATTGCCACATGCACACTACATAATTTTATTCGGATGCATAAGATTGGCATACCAATCATTCAACATGATGCGAATATAGAAGCTGCAGATTTAACTATGTATGCACAATGGCGCAAAGATAGTATGGACATAGTGAGACATGATATAGCACTTCGAATTTGGAGGGCTAACCGATCGGAAAGCGACAGTGAAGGTGATAACAACCAAGATCAAAGCAACAATGAAGATGATGAGAATGCCAATCATATGGAAGTGGATGGTTAATTATGCACGATGTTAGACGCTAATATAATTATATTCCTATTTTGATATGCGGTTGTAGTCATTTGAAAATGTTAAGTTGTACTGTTTTATCTTTCTACTATTAACATATGTTAAATATGATACACATTTATTTATAATAATAATAATAATAATAATAACAACAACAACAACAACAACAACAACAACAACATTGATAATAATAATAATAATAATAATAATAATAATAACATTATCAATAGTAGTAGTAGTAGTAGTAGTAGTAGTAGTAGTAATAATAATAATAATAATAATAATAATAATAAAAACAACATTAATAATAGTAAAATTAATAATAGTATTAATAATAACACCATTAATCATAATATTAATAATAATGTTCAAATTTGCTCTGCTCGGCTCGGCTCTGCTCTGCTCTGCTCTGCTAAAAAGAAATCTGCTCTACTCTTCTCTGCTTGGCTAAAATTTAATTTGCTCTGCTCTGCCCAGAAGCTCAAAAGAACAGGGCCTTATTTTCAAATAATAATTAATAATAACAATAATAATAATTAATATTCAATAATAATAATAATTAATATTATATTGATGATAATAATTTATTATTTTGATTAATTATAATAATTATTAATATTAAAAATAATTTTAATAATTATTAATATTAATAATAATTAATATTTATTAATAATAATAGTTATCATTATTAATATTTAATAATTCAAAATATTAATAATTAATATTTAATAATATTATTAATTAATAATTTCTAATAATTATAACAATTCTTTCAAATAAATAAATAATAATAATAAATAACAATTAATAACAATTTCTTTTATAAACATTTGATATTAGAATCACAATGTGTAGAAACATTATATGTATGTGGGTATTGATTGTTAGTTCTTTGAGTTGAATTATTTTTCAAATCTTCCCATACAATTTAAGAATTAAAAAAAAGAGATTGTTTTCATGTAGTACTTTGTATATCATTATTATTTTTAGGGTTAAAAATATATGATTAAGATAAATTTATAAGTAAAATCATTATTACTCATTAAATCATTTTATTTTAAAACTTTTGTGAAATAAATATAAGTAAACCGTTGTCTTTTATCTTTCTACTATTAACATATGTTAAATATGGTATATTTATGTTTTCACTCACCTAAATCAATGGTATATGCACTTAGTAATAATAATAGTAATAGTAATAATAATAACAACAAAATTAATAATAATAACATTGATAATAGTAATAATAATAATTGTAATAATAATAATAACAACAACAACATTAATAATAATAACATAAATAATAGTATTAATAATAATAATAATAATAATAATAATAACATTAATAATAGTATTAATAATAATGTTGAAATCTGCTCTGCTCGGCTCACTCTCATCGCCAACATTTCTTCAATTCCCACCTCAAAAATCCTCACTCTTCCCGGCAACTCTGTTCACTCCAACGAACAAATTGCCAACAATTTTCTGCAAAATCTGAACTAAACCAGTAAATGATTTCAATGCAAACCTTATCTCTACCATCTTCACCCACTACTCCATCACCATTTTCTCTCTTAAGACCTCCCCTTTCTCAAAGAGTCTACATTCCCTCTCATATTTACAAACACCCAACTGCAATTCTTCTCGAAATTTGCACTTCAATTCAAGAGCTCCATCAAATTATTCCTCATATATACAAACATAATTTATACAATGAACATCTCTTTCAAACTAAGCTTGTTAGTTTGTTCTGTAAATTCAATTCAATGGATGATGCTGCTCGTGTTTTTTACCCAATTGAGGATAAACTTGATGCTCTTTACCATACTATGTTAAAAGGGTATGCTTATAATTCCACCATTGACGAAGCTTTTTCGTTTTTTTGTAAGATGAAATGTGATGGGGTTGAGCCAATTGTGTATAATTTTACGTATTTGTTGAAGTTGTGTGGTGATAATTCGGATATTAGAAGCGGTAGGGAGATTCAAGGGCAGTTGATTGTTAATGGTTATGCGTTTAATTTGTTTGCAATGACTGGAGTTATGAATATGTATGCTAAATGTAGGGAAACTTTTGATGCATATAAGATGTTTGATAGAATGCCTGAGAAAGATGTGGCTTCTTGGAATGCTATTATTTTTGGGTATGCTCAAAATGGGTATGCTAAAATTGCATTAGAGTTGCTTGTGAGAATGCAGGAAGAAGGAACGAAGCCTGATTGGATTACAGTGATCACGGTTTTGCCTGCGCTAGCGGATATGGGTAAGCTGATTATGGGAAAATCTGTACATGGGTATGTTTTGAGGGCCGGTTTTGATTGTTATGTGAATGTGTTAACTGCATTGGTTGATATGTATGCAAAATGTAAAGCAGTGAGGACTGCTAGGTTGATTTTTGATTCGATGGAATCTAAGACTGTTGTTACTTGGAATTCTATGATTGATGGGTATGTTCAAAGTGGGGATCCTCAGGAAGCATTGACACTTTTTGAGACAATGTTGGATGAAGGAATTGACCCGAGTGATGTATCATTCATGGAAGCTATACATGCTTGTGCTGACTTGGGAGATGTAGAGAAGGGTATGGTCATTCATAGAATGTCGGATCAATTGGGGTTTGATTCTAATGTCTCTGTTACGAATTCCTTAATTTCTATGTATTCGAAATGTAAGAAGGTTGACGAGGCAATGAAGTTGTTCGACAGCTTAAATAATAAGACTAGGGTGTCCTGGAACGCCATGATCATAGGTTTTGCACAAAATGGTTGTGTAAATGAGGCATTGAATTATTTTAGTGAGATGCAATTAAGAAATATCAAGTTGGATTCATTCACTTTGGTCTGTGTGATTCCTGCTTTAGCTGAGTTATCCAATTTACGTCAGGTAAAGTGGATCCATGGACTTGCGATAAGAACCTGCTTGGACACAAATATTTTTGTAAAGACTGCTCTTGTTGACATGTATGCAAAGTGTGGAGCAATTCATACTGCAAGGAAGCTTTTTGATGGCATGGATGAGAGGCACGTGACAACTTGGAATGTCATGATAGATGCATATGGGACACATGGGCTCGGAGAAACAGCACTCAAACTTTTCTCAGAAATGCTGAAAGGTTCAATCCTACCAAACGAGGTGACATTTTTGTGCATCATATCAGCTTGCAGCCACTCAGGTCTTGTTGAACATGGGAAGTATTACTTTGAAATGATGAAAGAAGTATATAATTTGGAGCCTGCAATGGATCACTATGGAGCTGTGGTGGACCTTTTGGGTCGAGCTGGTCATCTAGTCCACAAGAACATTGAATTGGGAGAGAAAGCAGCTGATAGGTTGTTTGTTCTGAATCCAGATGATGGTGGTTACCATGTATTGCTGGCTAATATATATTCTGCAGCGTCAATGTGGGATAAAGTAGCTGAGGTGCGTTCAATGATGGACAAGAAGGGTCTTCGTAAAACCCCTGGCTGTAGTTTAGTGGAGCTAAGAAATGAGTTTCATACTTTCCATTCTGGAAGCACACTCCATCCTCAATCACGAGAGATTTATGCTTATCTGGATTCACTTATTGAGAGGATAAAATCTGTAGGTTATGTTCCTGATACCAATTCTGTACATGATGTAGAAGCCGATGTACAGGAGCAATTGCTTAGCAGCCACAGTGAGAAACTAGCCATTGCATTTGGTCTTTTGAATACAAATCATGGGGTACCTATACATATTCGAAAAAATCTTCGTGTCTGTGGTGATTGCCACAATGCAACCAAGTACATTTCACTCGTGACAGGCAGAGAAATTATTGTGCGTGATATGCACAGATTCCACCATTTCAAGAATGGGACCTGCTCATGTGGTGATTACTGGTAATTAGATTTTACTTGAAAAAGTTACCATAAAGATTTTGTTGAGAAGCTATCTGTGGTCTTTGACATCTTAACATTTCAAGGACGCATAGCCGCATAGGATTGCTGCATTTTTTTCAATTTTCCAGCATATTACTCAATTTTAAAAAAAATTCAAAAAATTGTTTGTCGTTACAGGCCAATGAGGTTTGAGTAGGTTATCTTGTAAATTAGTAGAGAGCCTAAGGTAAATCAATTATCAATGTATACTTGTAGGTTTGAGCTTTAGCATCTAAGATCATGGTTACCAATGTATAAAATGTGCTTTTACAAACAAAATATTGTGGGTATAATATTGGTTGTAAATAACAAAATCAGTTGCTATAGAATGAAGTGCTATAAATGAGTTACAAAATGTATAAAATGTAGAAATAACAACTCATTTTAATTATACATTTTGTAATCATGGTAATAATATTGGTTGTAAATAACAAAATCAGTTGCTATAAAATGAAGTGCTATAAATGAGTTACAAAATGTATAAAATGTAGAAATAACAACTCATTTAATTATACATTTTGTAATCATGGTAATACAAAATGAGTTGTTATAAAACGAGGTGTTAAAATACAAAATGAGTTTGTTATTTACACTCAATGGTAATATCTAACTCACTTCTCAATTTAGCAACTCATGTGATATATAATTATCCAACTAGTTATTAGCCCGGACGATACCCTGAGTCGTTATAAATTTATTACCCTTGTTTGCCACGGTCACTACGAGCTTTAGTGTTTTTTTTTAAAAAAAAAAGTAATAATTAATTTCTTACAAATTATATTATTGTGCAATTATTAAGAAATTACATTCCAAGGAAAATTAAAAAAGGGTGGTTAGACATATGAAGAGTTTTTCAATTAAAGTATCATTAATATGTGGAGGTTATGAAGAGTTTTTCATGAAGACAAACACATTATTAAGTCTAATTACATGACATGTTTCAAATATGACGTGGTGGAATAACATAAGAAAAACGACACATGGCGATATAATACTCCTTGTCTTGGAGTTTTAATAATAACTAGCGCCCGTGCAATGCACGGCTTGTTCATAGAAAATTGCATTGAGAAATGAGTAAAGAAATACCAATAAATAATTATGAGTGTAATATGTAACTGAAAACATAATTAAATAAATAAAAATTTTGGGACTTTAATTTAAAATGAGACTTAATAGAAAGAAGATGGAGGGACTAAAATAGAATTTTGAGGCTCTGTGCAAGATCTTAAAATTGGGGCTTTACAAAAATCTGAATAATGAAATACTCCACTAATATTATAATAATACGGAGTAATAAATTGACAATCACATTGCATGATTGCAAATACAAATTTTTATTAACAGTCATTTAAAAAGTGTAACTCTCTTAGCATATTTTAAAACACTATTAAAAATAGTGTATATAAAATGTAATATTCAAACCTTTGACCTCCCTTCAAAATTAGTTTATAAGGCTTTATGAGGCTTGCCATGTCATTACTTATATGGCGCCAAGTCATGATGAGAGAAGGTGACACGTGTCAATATCATGTTGTCCATTTGAGTTTTAATAATATTATAGATAGATTTTAGATTACTTTAATCATTCATTAATCATCCCAAAGTCTGTTTTAAATAATTTAGCTTTGTATAATTAAAATAGTTGGAATAACTTTTTTTCCCTATGAATCTCAATTCTCAACCCTACTTCCCTATTTGCATTTGTTAGAGTTTTTAGAAAATCAAGCTAGTTTGCATTAGATTTTAAATTTTTTTTTCCATTAATACATATGGATTTTTCCACGCTTATTAGGAATTTATTTAAACACATGCGACAAGCCTATAAAAAATCACCTTATTTTAGAGTTATGTTAGGTTGTGCAAGCCCAAACCGAGTGACTCAAAACAAACAATGGGGGTCACCATGTTGCCTAATGATTGAGTGAGAGAACCCAACAGGAGAGTGAGGAAGTTTTTTCCACACTTGTTAGGAATTTATTTAAACACATATGACAAGCCAGTCAAAATATCACCTTATTTAGAGTTGTGTATATGTCGGGTTGGGCAAGCCCAAATCGGGATACCCGGAACAATTAGTGTCACCGTGCAGTGTCGCATAGTGATTGAGCAAGATGACCCAACAAGAGAGCATTGTCAGCGAGTGATTCGACAATGACTAACCCTCCTTTGACAACTCTTACGTCGTGCTTTGTCACGGAATAAAAAGTCGTATCATGTTGGACCTGTGTCGATCTTTGATAAACAGAGCTAATATATGTCCGATTACCATAAACTTCGTTAACATATATATATATATATATGTTTTTTTTTAGTATATAAGTAAAAAGATATATATGTTTTTTTTCTAGATATGAGTAAAAATTAAGCAGACTGAACCGTTGTGATTTTATCAAGCTCATGCCAAAATTTGTAATTAATGTGAATACATAACCAATAGACCACTAATGCACCTCCAATGTCGTGGCAGACTTGTGTTGGGTGAGACCAATTTTCGAGCAATCCCAAACATCTCCAACCCCACTTTTTTTTTTTTTTCTTTTTTTTTTTTTTGTAAAAAAAAAATTTTCTAGCCATCCCAAACATCTCCAACCTTGCCAAGAAAACATAACCTAACCCATTGTGCATGACTTATGGAATTGAAGTAAAAATAAAAAAAAAGGAAAATATAGGAAAAAAAAAAAAAGTGGAGTATAAAAAATGTAAAGACAGAGTGAGCCTAGCCTAGCCGAGCCACGAGCCCACGACGGCCACGAGTATAAAATTGTAGAAATAAACCATCTGCCTCTCTGTGGACTCTATCTCTCATTTCATTTTTTCGGGGTTTTAGGGTTTTTGCGTCTCCCCTTTCTCTCACTCTCTCTCCTCCTTTCACCGTTCTTCGACCGCCATGACTGCTCAAACTCAAGAAGAGCTTCTCGCTGCTCATCTCGAACAACAGAAAATCGATGTATATTCCTTTTCCCTCTATCTACTATCTCTATTTATATCTGTGTATTTGTTTTTGAATCCGATTCATAAATTTTAATTCGTGTGTTGGTTTGATTTGCTATTCTTCTTAAATTAGGACTATATGGTTGTTAATTGTTTGGGATTTGTTCATTAATCGGATGGAATATGTTTAATTTTTGTGGGTTTATGTTGTTTGCTTTATTTTTTGTAATTAGGGTTGTTTTAGTCGGATCTCGTTTTTGTCTTTCATGATTTTAATTGATGGTTGTTTCAAGGTTGAAGAAAGATGCAATATTGTGCTAAATTAAAATATAGTTTGAAAGAAGAAATTAACAAAAAAAAAAAAATCTTCATCATTTCATTTGGTTTTTGGTTTTAGTATCTCATTCAGAATGTCTTACCTGATTTAGTTTCGGACTTCAATTTATACTATCGACGTGACAATTAATTTTGAATTGAGGGATTTTTTCATTTGATAGTTTTTGGGAAAAAAATATGGTTTATTGTTTTAGTTTTCATGTGTAGTGTCATTTTATCTATTCTTTGGAAGAGAGGCATTGGATTTGGAAGTTATTTAATATTGGTGTGTGTTTGATTAATTGTTATCTGTAGTGACTTTAAATAAGAAGCCAATATCTTATAATTTTACCTGTGTTGTAATTTCAAAATCTTCAATGAATGGATGTGAAAGCGTTTTGAATGATGGTCTTAAGTTATCGTTACTCGAAAGTTGTAGGTATATATATAATGTATACAAATATGACAATGGGATATTAAGAGTTCAAAGAATGTTATTGGGTTTGGAAGTGCTTAGGTAATATTTGGCTTTTATTTATTTTTGTACACATGTTTTGGTTACTCGTTATTTTTATTCATTTGTGAATGTTAATTGATATCTGAATTATTTTTTTACCAAAGTATGCTATTCGTTTATACCTGGATATGTCATTGTTCATTATTGATGTATGGTGTGCTTTTGTTTCTGTAGCATGATGAACCTGTTGTTGAGGATGACGAGGACGATGATGATGAGGATGACGACGATGACAAGGATGATGATGATGAAGTAGAAGGTAAAGTCTGAGTTTCTTCAGCTCAAGTTCAATAGTAGCATCTTATTGGCCTTTCAAGAATGGTCTGGTAGCTCCTTTAGTTCATTGATTATGTATGATGTAACTGATAGCTGATGCTTTTGAAAGTGAATTTGTAGCTTGCTAAGTTGAGTGTGATACAAAAGTAAATGTGTGATGTCTTTTCATGTTGTGTGATACGGAAATGTAAATGCGTTGTCTTTCCATGTTTGTAGCAGTGTGATACAGAAATGTAAATTAAATCTTGTAAAAGTCCTCTCTTGTTTAGGCTTACTTTTAATTTTGCATACTGCAGTTTAATCATGTAAGTTGCTAGCATGATGTTCCCTTTAAACTGTTGCATGTAAATATAATTGTATGCAAGCTGTATTTGCACGAGTGTGATGGATTTGGCAGACTCTGTTTCTGTTTCATTTGATTATAGCTTCATTCCCCTTTTTCTACTTATCTATTGTAACATCTTTTTGCTAGTGTTCTTGATATTTTGATTGTGTACTGTAATTGTTTACAGGGGCACTTGATGCTAGTGGTAGGTCAAAGCAGAGCAGAAGTGAAAAGAAGAGTAGAAAAGCTATGTTGAAGTTGGGGATGAAGCCTATTACTGGTGTTAGCAGAGTCACTGTGAAGAAGAGCAAGAACGTTAGTCTCTTTCCCCTGATGTATCCATTTATAATTGTATTGAAGTCTTATTTCTAATAAGTGTGTATCTGTTTGTTGAATCAGATTTTGTTCGTCATCTCAAAGCCTGATGTTTTCAAGAGCCCAACATCAGATACTTATGTTATCTTTGGTGAGGCGAAGATTGAAGATCTGAGCTCACAACTTCAAACCCAGGCAGCAGAGCAGTTCAAGGCCCCGGACTTGAGCAATGTCATATCCAAACCTGAATCCTCTGCAATGGCTCAGGATGATGAGGATGTTGATGAGTCCGGAGTGGAACCTAAGGACATTGAGTTGGTGATGACACAGGCTGGAGTCCCAAGGGGCAAGGCAGTCAAGGCACTCAAGGCTGCTGATGGTGATATTGTTTCTGCTATAATGGAACTGACCACCTGATAAGTTTGCGTTCTCTTCTTTTTGTGTTTTTTGGTGTTTAGGTAGTCATTAGTGCTTCCTGAAGCATGGTCTTGAAATTTGAGGAATTTTCAGAGGCTGTTTGTTTACTTTCAGCTGTTGTACTGGTAAAACTTTGAGAATATCTTATATGTGATGAAGCAAAGCACTTGTTTGATTGGCGCATGGTTCATATATAGGTTATTCAAAAGTCTTGTTGTTTTTCTTTGGTTTCTCAGTTAACCGCAGTTTTCAGGGAGTTGGGTTTCTCTTTTTGAAGTATGTGGTACCCTGGAGTAGCTGAAAGGAGCGAATCGGCAATGACTCAGTCATATGGCCTTAATATCCTGCGTTTAATACTTGGACACAATATAATGTCATGGACGCAGTATGTAACTAAGAAGCATAGAGCCATTTGTGGGACTGTTGATGTCATGGGGAGGGGGAGGGGGGGAGGGGTTGGTCTCCCCATCCTTGCAAAGTTGCTATGGGTCTCCATTCCCATCCTCATCCCCCCACCCTCACTGACACACAACACCTTGGTTATCCACACCCACCTAATACCTGCTTGGATCCACCTCTATAAAAGGGACTGCATACTGCATGGTTCATACTATATAATGAACGAAAGAACTATATACTAACAAATTACAGTTACAAAGTAAAGTAAAAAGATCACTTGCCTACTTAAGCAGATGTTTTTTTCCGTCGAATTACTATTACTAGTTAAACCATATTATTTTGAGTTGGTAATCTTGGTATCATCAACCTAAAACCAACAAAAAAAAATGGTTAAGTTATTCGTATTATCATGTTTAGAAAAAAAATAAAAATGAATGATTATATAGGTGTAGATTTTTAGTCTAATTTCTTAACAGGCAAGTTTTGGGCTGGAAGATCCATGATTCATTATTTAACAAACATAGGTTCTAATTATTCTTAGAGGTAACCATTAAGAGGAGGGGGGGGGGGGGTTGTGGAAGACGACGACAAAAAACTCCATCCGGGTAACACCATTGGGGGGGGGGGGGTGGGGTTGTGTGGAAGACGACGACAAAAAACTCCATCCGGGTAACACCATAACAATCAACACAAATCAAAATCTTTTCTTTATCTTCCAAGCTACATTGTACATGACACTGAAATTACAAGATGTACGGGGGGGGGGGGTTGTGGAAGACGACGACAAAAACTCCATCCGGGTAACACCATTGGGGGGGGGGGTGGGGTTGTGTGGAAGACGACGACAAAAAACTCCATCCGGGTAACACCATAACAATCAACACAAATCAAAATCTTTTCTTTATCTTCCAAGCTACATTGTACATGACACTGAAATTACAAGATGTTTATGGCTTTCTGCAATTTAATGGCCTTTTCCTACCAGAGTAAAGAAGAAGACTAGTATCCTTTCCCATTTTCTCTTTCCTTTCCTAAAATTAACACATCATACATTCTTTTCTCTACATTACTAGCCATTATCTCAATCCTTTTTCTCATCGTCTTTCTTTTCTTTTTCAAACATCAATGATTATCCTTTTTCATTATCTTTCTCTTATTTACTTATATCATACTATATTAATAAAAAAAAGGAAAATTTATAAATTATCATTCAAATAGTAGACTTGTTTTGAAATTACTAACCGTTAATTTTTTTTTTCCACCCTTAAATTTAAAAAGTATTCAGATTCCCACTTTTTTCATAATTCCGGTAGATTATTCGTTTAAGGGCCCCACATAACTACCTTCCCTTATATTTTTACTTCCTTTCTCTCACCTTAACCCTCTCAATATTCTATTACACTCTATCTATCACTTCCCTCATTCAATTTATTCAATAAATTGTTGAACCATCATCAATCTTCTCCCTCTTTCTTCTTTAATTTTCTATCAAATTCGAAACTACCCCTAAAATTATTAGAGTAAAACCCTTAAGTGTTTTTTTTTTCTTCTGCAAATTAAATGCTTTACTATACTTGCATGTACTCTTGAAGGTGAAAAAGTGCGAAAAGTCGCCATCTTTGGGTGTTCTTTGGGAACCAGAAGCGTAGGTGAAGTTCTTGACATTTGTTGATGTCAATGGTGATGCCAGAGGTAAGTGTTTCGGGTTTTTTCTAATCCCTTGGGAGAGTTAAGTCACTAAGTCAGGATCCGAGCCGTCTATACCTGCAAAATAAAGGAAGCTTCGGTTGGTCGGAGTTCTTCCTCCAACAATCAAGTCAGTAAAGATCCGGAGTAAAAGGGTGCGGAAAAGTAAATATCTTCTCGGATTATGAGATCAGGTGTTTCTTTGTTTATGAGAGTAATGAATGATGTAACGATTGAACGTGCCCCTAAAATAGGGGAATCTCCCTATTTATAGGATCATTAGGGTTTGCACCCTTGTCCTACGTCACGGAAACCTAAGACTAACGCCTGCGCCGCATTGCGGCTTTCTCGGGATCTGGGCCATAAAGACCGCCTTTTTTCCAGATAATGGATGACACGTGTCTGATGGACATAGATCCAGTTTGGACTTCTCCTTGGTGACACGTGTCACCTTCAAATATGGCCACGTGTCCTGGGTAATTTTACCCAAAAAATTTTCCCTTCACAGGTGTGACGTGGCGTGCCACGGGGCATCTGTGACCTGTTATCACTCAATAATTGATGGATCAGTTTTAACTGTTCACCTCCTGGGGAAATTACAGGGGTGCCCCAGATTTACCCCTATACAAGTACATTTTTCACCCTCCCTTTGGTTTCCAAAAAGTCATAGAGAGAAAGTTTAAAGATTTTTAGAGACAGAGAGAGTTTGACAATCGCCTGTATCATCCACAAACAGCTGCTCGATCTTCTGCATGCTTGTTACAGCCGGTCAACACTTGATACCCTTCCAAGAGAAATCTTAAGGTACTGTCTCTCCCCCTCTCATCTCTTTCATATTTTTCTGTTTATGCATATTTCTTTCTATAAATGGATTCACTATCAGCACACACGACACAACCTAGGTCAATAGTTAGCCGGTCTCCTAGTACGGTTGAGTCTTGGATTGGAGGTGCTGGCTCTGGGTGTATGAGCTTGCCTTGTTCATCCTCGAATCCGACTATCTTTGTGTCTGTGCAAGACACAATGGATCAAGTAAAACAGACAACATGAAGGCGGATACGGAGGGATGACACTTTAGAAGTGCCGTATGATGAGATGGCACCGGTTGATGAGGGAAATATACTAGTTGACCAAGGAAAGGATTTCCCTCCGGGTACACCCAGCACACCTATTGATGGGATTTTAGATGAATCAGACGGCGTGGAAGCCGTCTCAAATACTGGCTCTAAGAAGAGGAGTTCAAACATAGAGGCGGTGGGGAGGCCGCTTCTGTCTCCGGCAATGATAATAAAGAGGAAGAGGCTCTTCTTAAGAGAGACATATAAGGGACCACCTCTGGGTCTAGCGCTGAGGAGAGTAGTGAGGGTTACCTTTCGCCGCTTAAGAATAGTGAGGTAGAAGAGAGAGAAATGGAGTGAGGCGGCTGACCTTTTTCGGATTCATGTCTCTGCCAAAGATAGGGCAAGCATGATTAAGGGCTTAAAAGACTTCAAGTTAAAACGTCCTCTTAGTGAGGGATATGACATCCGGATGCCGCCTGAGTTGGGCACCATTGCTTGGAAAGACAACCAGACCAATGCCAATAAATATTTTGGCTGCTATGAGGCGGCTTTCATGGCTAGTCTCCGCTTCTCTTTTCACGACGCAATAAAGGCTATCCTTCGAGGATATGGCCAAGGCGTGTGGCAGTTGATCCCAAACTCATGGGTTAAAATTTTGGGCTACATAGCGGCTTGTGAGATGTAGGGCCTTCATCTCGACTGGGAGGATTTTGCTCACATGCATTATCTCAGCCGCAGCCTAGGCGGTTGGAGAGCGTGATACACACTGACCACCTACCCTGAGTACCTGATGACCCTTGACAAGCCGTCTAAGTAGTCCGATTGGAAGAATAGATTCTATCTTGTTTTTTCCCTCACACGGTAAGAAAAATTTAAGTGCCATTGCTATGATAAAATGTCGGATCTGCTGTGTCAGAAGTGCAAGTTCCCTTAAATTCCGGATGAGGATTATGAGAAGATAACATAGTCGGGTTTCTTCAAGCTTACAAAACTCCTCTGTCAACCGGTGAACTAATAAACGTTTCTAGGAACTGGGTATCCAAACATGAGTGGAAAAGGGATGAGAAATTTTTATTTGCCTGCTATCTGAGAACCATGTTCGATACACGTACGTAGAATAGTCAGTCAGCATCTTATGCCGTCTTTATTGTCTTTCATACTTTCAATTATTATTGTTATGATTACTTATTAAATGGTCCTTTTTTTTTTTACAAAAACCGCTAGAAACATGCTTCTAGATGACAGGACACCCAAGCGGTCTGCAGCTCAAATCTGCAAGGACAAAGTGAAAGCAAAGAGAGATGAACTGGCAGCCAAGGGCCAGGTATAAACCGCCTGCCCCCATTTCTTCCAGCTTTTGAAGTTAATTTACACACCGAGTCAGTTATAACCGGTTGTATGCTTAATATCTGCTTTGCTTGTCAGGGTGGGGACAAGGGAGCCCCCAAATATTTCACCAAGCTGTTCAAACGGAAGCAGGACAATGAAGTCACCAGTTTCGCCAAGTCCCAAAAAGTGACGTCTGCCCAGACAGCTCCGGACCTTCTACTTGGAAGAAGCCGTCTGAGCATTGGGGGGGGGGGGTAAAGTCTGAGCCTTAAAGGCTTTGGTCTTGGGATATACCTTGGAAATAAGCCGGGTGCCAATATGGTGCCAAAGGGTATCGAGCTACCCAAAGCTGCAAGCGATGTTGCAACAGCTGTAGACGACGATAGCCTGCAGATTCTTTCCGAAGGTATGGCTAACCCTTTCGAATCTCATGTTGAACTTGGTTAGCCCATCCGGGTCAAGTCTCATTCTCAGCAGACGTAAGAGGGATCATCAAGCAGTCGTCGTCAGATGGGCGCCGCTTATATAGCTCACTCACCAAATCTTCCTTATAGTGTAGATCAATCCCCTCGGTGGCCGGATGTGCAGCTATACTCCAAGGCCATGCTTAGGGAAATCCTCAAGAAGGAGAAGGAGGCCATTCCAAGCATCCGGGCGTTCAATGTTAAGCGAATCCTCTCCCTGCTGTCTGAGGAATGGTAGCTTCACTCAATTTAT